TCAAATCTTTGTTTTTTGGCTCAACAACTTTTATGTCTATTTACAAACACATTCCTTTGAGGATTTCGCGGAAAACGTAGATTAAAGGCACAAAAATATAAATTTACAGTTTTTATGGACTCTCCAGCTTTGGAATTTACCAAGCTTTTGCGGTCATTTTCTCGCTAATTTTACATCTTTAACCAGGTGGGTCCTACCTCCTTCAATTCAAAATATCTCCACTTATATTGAAGATAGATGGATATTTTTTCATCCAAACAAAGACAAATGAACAAGCTCTAAGATGATACCAATAACTCAATATGCCCCAAAATTGACGAGAGCCTGATTCCATTACGTCGTCTCACATACACGTCTAACGTTGTCTCATTTAACACAAATATAATACATGTTTAATGTTCTCTTACGTAACACGTATTTTACACTTTTTAAAACATCCTCACATTTCACACTTTATACAGTGTATAAGACATAAAAAACCTTATCGATTTTAGGATCACTAGGGATCTTTAACGTTAGCAACTTGCACAGGGACCTCCAAGATTGTTTAGCCCTTATCCGAGAAAGCTAAGATCTTTTCTACCCTAAGACCAGGGATCTGGCTGGAAAGGCCAGCTGTAAGAAGAAGCCAATTAGCAGTGGGAAGGCTGCAGTAAGAGCCAGGAGCTCGGGGGGTGAGTGGGGTGGTGGTGGTGGGGGCTCCGCTCTCGCAAGAGATGTACGTTTGATTTCCAGTCGAAGAAGACAGTATTCTAACTTGTATCTGATCATTATACCTGCGCCTGTCTGCTGGGATGCTGTGTCTACTGTGTCCCACTCAGCTGGTAATGGTCCGAAGCAATCCGCCTGTCAAACTGTCGAAATTGTATTGATGCAGGTATTATAGTACACGCGTATTTACAATTATTTGCTAACATGGGTGTTCAAACTTAGAGAAAGATGGCGAAAATTCTGGCCTTTTATGCTTTGAAGTTGCTCCATTAGCCCAGGTGATATCAACCTGGACGGCGGAGTGGATGCCCCAGGTTCGAATCCCAGACTGGCGTTCTTTAGCTCGGGTCACTTTGGGGAGTTCTTCAGGTTCTCAACCTATTGAAATTGAATAAGGGGCCGGACGTTACATTCAGACGTCTCGCTTCTTTAATGACCTAATAGCGTTGGTAAGGATATCAAACCCTTACGTTTATTTTATAGGATTTGAACTTAGATCATTCACATGTTCGCTAAATTCATTGGGCCTACCAATTGCGTAAAAGTGTCCGGCTTGTGATCAATATAAGGCGCTGGGCTATTGAACTACACGTACTTACTTTTACTTACTTGTTCATCCTCTGTTGCCGTTAAGCGTCGCGGGGAGATGCAGTTTTCTATGGTAGGCCAGCTCCGCAGCTCTTTCAGTTGTGATGTTATGTTTCCTTAGGGTTTCCTTGACACCCTCGATCCACCTTTTGCGTGGCCTTCCTCTTCCTTTATAGCCTGAGTGCTTGGTGTTGTAGGCTCTCGAGGCTGGCTGGTCAGGTGATATGCGTAACAGGTGGCCAAACCATTTTATCCTCTGTCTTTCTATCATGTAACGCAGGCAGGACTCAGTGCCGATAGCTGCTCTTACTTCCTCATTTCTCTGCTTGTCTCGTCTTGTG